ATACCACCCTGCCTTAGTTGCCTAAAGGCCTGTATCCCCTCTCAGAAGAGAAAATCGAAGGAGAGACAGGCGACCATGATGGTGATCCAGATTGATCACGAATACCAAGTATACCCAGACACTCAATCAGGGACGGCCCTCTAGGAAAAAAATAATGAAGGATTGTGGAAAGGGAATTTCATGAAGGCAGTAGTGTCACAAAAAACAGGAAAAGCCCAAGGGGAACATCAGGTCAGCCAGAAAACAAACTTACATAGGAAAAGGAATCAAATAAAAAGTATTAAAGAATCCCTATAGACAAAAGCCTAAGTAATTAAGAAAACTAGACAAATAGGAAAAGGAAACAAAAGATAATTTAGAAAACCCTTACAAACACAGGACATACCAAATAAGCAAAACAAACAAACAAAAGACAAAAAATATAAATTACAAAAGGGACAGACAGGAGATTGCCACAGAACAAATATGAAAAACTATCTAAAAGAGGTTACAGAAAGCCAACAATACAATCTGGCCACCCCGCGGAGTTTGCCTTCCGTACCCCGCGGAGTTTGCCCTCCGACGGAAATAAAGACAAACTCAAACAGGATTTGAAACATTAGGCACAAATATAAACACTCACACAAAATCAACTTACAAAGGGAGAAAAGGGTATAAAAAACCAGGGACTTACCATAAGAAGCTAGCTAGCCTAGGAACGCAGACTTCTTGCTGATTTCCGCCTTCCTGAGAAATAAAAAGATCCAGCTTTCAAGCAGTTGTCCGTATCCTTGCGCCGGAGCTCTCCCAACGGGAAAATCGAATCCTCAAAAGAAAGGCATTTTGACACCTTTCAACAATACTAACACAATGCATTTTGTATTTATGAGCCTTTTAAGACTCTCATATCAGCATGTCTGCAGACAAATCCTTCACATGCAAAGCTTCCTTTGCACATTAATCTGAACTCACTTTAAATATTTTTAAAGCTAAAAAAGATATATCTTAAATAAGAAACTGCTATAATATAAACCATTGAGTCACATCTTTATTTCCAAGACTACGTCAGAGTCTCACTTGAGCCCCGCGGCATTCTTATATATAAAGTAAACATTATGAGTGGCTGGAATGCAGTGCTTAGTTAAAATGTTCCTGCCCAAAGACTATAGGGAAAAAATATGGTGAAAATGCAAGTATCAGACTTCAAGCACGGCAACAGACTTTGATTTTCTGAAATCTCCACCAACATTCATCAACAGCAGAATCTCTTTTTGGCAAGGCAAACCAACAGTATAATTAATATAAAATTAGTTACCATTTTATATATCCCCTCCAAACAGAATATGGTATACTTAATTTAAATAATCCTTTTCAAGGAAATACAGTAATTCTAAATACAGTAAATCTAAAGACATTTCTGAAAATTAGCATAGAGCAGGGTTCCCAAGCTGAAGTCTACTACCTCCCTTATGGTGGTGCAGAGTCCAGGTGAGGTGCAAAAAAACTTACTTACACATTTTTACAGCTTTTCTGAAGTTGAATTGCATTTATTGTTCATTTGTGTCCATGTTGGTGTTTGTATTTTTAGGGGAGCGGTGTACATTTGAATAATTAAGATTACAGTAAAGGGAGGTGTGATGGTAAAACAAATAGGAACCTCTAGCATAAAGGTTGTATCACTGAAGGAACTGATGAGATGCCATATCTATTTCAGTGTGGAGAGCGGGCTCCCCTAAGTAACCAAATTGTCCAAACAAGGACAATATCATGAAAAAATATGATTTATATCTTTTATGAAAACTGGCAAACTAGACGTTCATCCAAATAACATTACTGCAAATTACCCATTATAACAGGGAGCTAATATTTGAATATTCATGCAAATCTGATTATAAACCACCCTGAAATCAAATTTATCAACAAAAGATGATAGTGAAAAGGTAATAATCTTTAATGGTTACATACTTCAGGAACTGTATTATAATTGTGACCTATAAGATACACAATGAGCTACCTTTTTTCTTCATAAAAGAGGTAGGAACATTGGGCTACCCAGTAGGAGTAGGAATATCCACCGATGTACTCTCTTAGTTTACTTATTTGCTAAGAAGTGGGATTTCCTAGACGTCTGTTTGTAAATGTGTATGTCAGTGATTTCCTCATGTGATTTTTTGATGAACTTTGCTAGTTGTTTTCTGAGAAATACAAAGTAAGTATTATGTAAAGAGAAATGGGATTGAAGGATTTGGGGCTGAGATCTATACCTCCCCTTCCTCCCCTCATGTGAAACAATAGCTGACATCTGTTTTTTTAAAAAATTAATTATTTGCTTTAAGTCAGAGATGGACATTTACTTTATGGGAACGAATCAGTATTTACAGTAATTCTTTTTTTAAAGTTAAAAAAGTATTACTATGTACTATTTTGGGGTGATGCTGTCGAAAGTAACATTGGGAAGTACATTTCTACACACAGGATCCTCTGACAGTAGCTTTATTATTTATTGTCATAAGCCATTTCAAATGAACAATATTTTTAGGACATAATATTTTAGAAATCTTTCTTAACAAGGAAATAAGACACTTTATCTCTTTTCAGTCTCATAAATCATTTTTATTGTGTATTTATAATTTTTTTTGTTCAATCATTTCCTGAGCATCATATAAATAATGTAATATTCTGTGGTTTCATGGCTCTTTAAAGACTATTATTACAGTGACTGTGGTTGCTGGCACACATGTCCATTTCAACAGATGCCTTGAGCAAAGTGCCATCTGGGAGGGCCAGGAGTCCCTTAATTCTTTGTCTGACTGTTCTGCAGATGTAGCGGAGCGATTTTCTATCTGTTAAACACAAATCCACACCCAAACAGCCATTAAAGAAGCTAACCAGCTAATGCTACATCACTTCCGAACAGGGGTCCCCAAACTCTTAAGCTCATTCAACCCTTCATGAAACTTTAGAGTCTCTTCATCAACATTCAAATATTATATTTAATAAATAATTTATTAAATAATAATTTAACAAACAGTACTTACAAATAATAATTTAGAAAGTCTGGCTAGTGAATTTGGCAATGCCTGGAGACAGCAGAAGAGAAGAGAAAGAACTGGAGAAGATAACCAAATACAAAGACCTGCAAATAGAACTAGAACAACTGAAAAAAGAAAGCAAAGGTGGTAACAATACTAATAACTCATGGTTGCAACTCCAAAACAACTAGAGCACAGCTTGAACACCCACCACAGAGGTGGTATTCAGCAGGTTCTGACCAGTTCTGGAGAACCAGTAGCGGAAATTTTGAGTAGTTTGGAGAACCAGCAAATACCACCTCTGACTGGCCCTGCCCCCATCTATTCTCTGCCTCCTGAGTCCCAGCTGATCGGCTGGGTCTTCTTTTGTTGCCCTGCACAGGAGAACGGAGCTGGAAAGCAGGTTAGTGGGGTGGGGAGGGAATGGGGATTTTACAGTATCCTTCCCCCAGGAGTGGGGAGGGAATGGAGATTTTACAGTATCCTTCCCCTGCCATGCCCACCAAGCCTCGCCCACAGAATCGGTAGTAAATTTTTTTGATCCCACCACTGATCCATCGGCATTGACAAATTCACCAAAAAGCAGCTTTACTCAGAACAGCTTATATCGTGCAATGTAAACATAAAACACCCATATCTGCCTATCCCAGGTCCTTGGGAAGGAGGATAGGTGGATAAAAATGCCAACTCGTCTGAACATCTGGCTGACTATGTGATGATGGACTCTTGAGGCTGGTTACCATCTCACCTTGGGTAACACAAGATTCCCCCCTAGCCACCTTTTTCAGGATTAGAAAGACTGGAATGGAATTTTACAGAGGTGTCCCCCCACTAACTGATCTAATGATGTTTCATCATTTATCAACCACTAGCAGGGTACCCGTGCTTTGCTACGAAACTATGTGATCGGGGAGGAAAATAAGATGAAAAAACTGTGCCTCTGCCTACCAGCATCCATAAGTATTCATCTGGCTAGCATTCTGTCAGTGTGTGAGAGGGTTGAGGGTTGTTTGGAAACTGAAACAGTATTTGCTGTGTGAGCAAGGAGACAGCAAGGAGCCTGGGCATGGCTTATCTGACTGTTCTGTATTACAGCTGGTTGCTGCTGTGAAACTAAAACTGAACCTGAAACTCCTCTCCTCTGCTTGTGTTTTGCATTTGGAACAGATTTCTTTTCAGCTGGGGGAAGGGAGTAGAACTCCTTAGCATCAGAGCATGTTAATAATAATATAGGAAATACTAATGCTCTGATGGTCATTTTGAAAAATCCTTTCTTAGTGAACACCTTGAAGCCAAGAGGAAAATACGTGCCAAATTTCAAATTTGTAGGCTTTACGGTTCTGGAGATTTCGTGATGATGCGTGAGGGGTATTTCGCTTTTATGTACATAGGTTTACTGACTCCTACTCTCTTTTGTCTCCCAGCCCTTTATTGACTCTTGGAGGTGGATATTCCCCATCACTGGGGAGCCCTGTGTGTCACTACCACCACCACCCACACATACACTTCATCCTACTCGGGGCTCGAACTGGTGGGACCCGGCGAAACAATCGCCGGAATTTTCTGCATTCGCCTTTAATCTTCTCCAGCGCCGCCGCCTCCAATCAGGCAAAACAGGAAGCCCTTTTCCTCCCCTCCCCCCTCCCCCCTCCCCTTTACACAGCCAAGGCATTCGCTAGAGCGGCCCCGACCCAGCCCGCACGCCTTCTTCCTGAAAGGAGAACCAGCCCAGCCCGCCTTCTTCCTTCGCGTTTGAAGCTCGCTTGGAGCGCGAACGCGCCTCCCCCCTCCCGGCCTTTCCGCGGGAAGGCGAGCGAGCGGATTGGAGGAGGCTGGTCACGCGACCTTCGTTTGGTGGCGTCATTCGTCTCTGCGGCGCGCGGGGGAGGGCGTGGCGAAAGGAGCTGATTTATTTATTTATTTAATTTATTTTATTGTCCCGGCCGGCCCGGGAGGGGAAGCTTCCCTGTCAGTTTCAGGCAGCTGCGCGTCTCTCACGGGCGGCGGGCGTGAGGGGTGTCTGCCGGCCTTGGGTGGCAACGTGCGCGCGAGGAGCAGCGATGCCTCCTCCTCCTCCTCCACCGCCGCCATGAAGGAAGCCCGCGCGGGTCAGTGAATTGGCGGGGATTGTTGAGGAGCAGCTTGGAGATGAGGAGGTGGCGGAAGGAGAGGAAAAGACGGCAGGCGAGCATGCAAACGGGCAGGCGGGCAAAATGGAGATGCGGAGGGGAAAGGAAAAGAGCGGCGGGGGCGGCGGCGGCGGGCCGGGTTGTGCTGCAGGTGCTCGCGGCTGACCTCGGGGCAAAGGCAGGGCGAGGAGAAGATAAGGGCGTTTCTGGTTAACCAATCCCAGACTCTGTTAATATATTACCCCCCTCAACAGGATTGCATCCCGCCTTTCGCTTTATTTTTTTATTTTTTTATTGCTTCTCTTGAGCGTGGAAAGACCTATGCATGTTTTATATAGGGTAAAAATGGGACGAACCGTCTTTGAAAAGCACGGCAGCGGGGTTAACAACGAGGCCCTCGAAACGTTGACTCAATGTCCCGCGGTAGGTTAATTTTGTAGAAGTCGGGACGCACCGTAGTATAGATGGGTATGCGCTCCTAAAATGGCACCCCCCAAAATTTGCAGGGACCAAATCAAATGCATTTCTCTTCAGTTGCAACAGGCTTCATGCGTTAGCCCAAAATACGTGCGTACTGAATGTGCATAATGTGTATGAGGTCTCGGCCTTATAGTCGCCACCCGTTAATAAGCATTTAATAAGCATAAGCAAGCACAAGCATTTTAAATGCTTATGCACCCGTTAATAAGTTAATAAGCAGAAGCATTTTTGGAAAAAAAAATCTTTTTCCTGGTGTATAACTGGTAATTTGATATATATTTACCATGCTAAGTTTTGAATTGCTGAGGATTGTTTATTGTAGGCGTTTTCACTTTAGTTTTCACTATAGGGCCTATTATATGCAACAAATTGGATGAAGTGTGATGGCTATGAAAGAAATTGCACATTTGCATCCCAATAGAATATATTAGACCAACTCTAAATTTGCAAAAATATGCAAGATCTCAAAATGTGTTCAGGTTTTATGATGAATAGTAGGCTAAATAGAAGTGTAGTTCTAGCATGGAGTTTGAAATATTAGTATTTTTGTTTGGGGAAGGGAACTAATAGTTGTACAATGTAATACTTACAATTTTAAGCTGTGTGTAGTTTTACTATTTCAGGCACAAATCATATGTACTTCATCTTTACAATACTGAGATTATGTTACTGAATTACTTTATAGTATTGCAGTGACCGAGAATATTTTTGAAATTCCTGGAATACAAAGGTCTTTCTGAAAATATATTTGGCTTATATTTGAAATATAAAGCATGTAAAGTCAGGGGTGTCAAACTCGCAGCCCTTGGGCTGGAAGGGGAAAAATGTCATACGTCACGTGTCAATGCTGTGATGACATGTGTTTGACACCCCTGGTTTAAGTAACTCATAACAAAAATAGCAAATATCAGTATATATAACTATTTGCTTTAAATTTACATCAAGAAGAAGCATGTTGTCAAATGTATTGATGAAAACAAGATAGCAACTGTTTCTCTACTTGCTTCTAATGGATTTATACTTGAAAGGATATATAGTGGGAAGCCAATATAGTTATGATGGAATACAAGTAATAGGTGAAAACAGCAAGGAAAGACTAGCTAAATGTTAGATAATAAACATTTCACTACCAGCTTGATTACAGACTCTGGAAGGCCTTACATAAATAATGGTGTAATTTGAATGCTATTCAATTATGTAGCATCTAAAATCTGTTCAAATTGTAAAAATATGTGATTTGGGGATCTGTATCTTTAAAATCTTTATCTCATCATGCTCAAGAAGAAAGTTACAGGAAGTATTTTTCCTATCCAAATAAGGAAAATTTACCATAGTGGCTATAGAGAAACTGATAAGTTTTATAAATACAGATGGTGAATTGAGTAAATTAAGGCAAAAGGTAAAATATAAATTAAATATTATTTAAATAAACAAATCATGATGAGCACTAGACAGCATTAGAGCTAATTTTCTATGCCTTTGCTGCCATATTTTTGCAACCAAATAAAACAAAAACTATTGATTCCTTTTTAGGCAAAACAGTTTGAAGACCTGCTCCAGAATGCTACTTATACAGAGAAAACCTTGTTTTGTATCACATAGGAAAGGTAATTATCTCATTTTCACTGCAATGACTTCCTTATAATAAAATTTGCATCCCAATGTAGACTATTGTTATCACACTTTTATTAAGTTATCACTAATTTTTATTAAGTATAATTAAAGTAAAAAAATAATACAAACCACAAAAAAAGAAAGAAGTAATTTCCTCCCTCATGTGGACTAGTACAAACAATTTTGATAACTTATGTTTTCTTAAGCTATTATTATCACATCTTGGCAGGTGGTGTTGAGAAAGCAGCATGAATAAACTAATATACAGATTAGCTCTTAACGTGTCCCTGGTGCGGGGATTACAAATTTTAATATTGTCCTGTCCTTACATTTTAGTAAACGCTCCACTGTTCTTTATGTTTGTCACATGGATGCAGTCCATATTATGCTGAGAAGTGAGGTGTTGTGTTATCTGAATTTGGCTATATATTAGTAGTCCATTTTCCTCCCCCTATATTGATAATTTATCAATATGGTGATAAATTACCACTGTCTTTTCATACATCCCCAATGTAGTTAGAACAATGCTGTCTCACTAGAACAATTGTCTTTCATTGTTCATTTTTTATGTGTTTATAGTTGGTAGATTGTAATTGCTGGAAGCAGTATCTATCTTTTACATATGTTTGATTTCTATACTGCCTTAACAGGATAGAACAGTAAAATATTCTATATAGAATATGGAATGCCTTCTAAGGAAGTGCAAAATTGAGGAAAAGAGTTAATAGAATAGAGAGTGTTGTACTCCATCTGTACTTGTTTCTGGAACTTCAGCTCATTCCATTCTTCCTGTTAAGAGTAATATATGGAGCTAAAGGATGGAATTTATTCCTTTTCAAAATCCACCCTTGTATTTTTCTGGTTTCCAATTCTGAGTTCATTTGCAATAAAATATTCCCATTATCTTTTTATTTTTTTCCTAAATTAGCCTCTTCTAGTGCTAAACTGACATGGGATAAAACTTCTGTGTTTTATTTCCTTCTTGTATTGAAATTAGGAAATGAGAGAGGGAGACAGTTTCAGGGCAATTCCGTGCAAAATTTGAAAATGAAAACATGAAGAAATAGGTAACGCGTGGGTAAAAAGAAATGTAAGAGGAAGATTTAAAATGATTGCTAATGACCTGCTTTTGCTCAAACAGGAATGTAACTGGAAAGGCAGGTTTATAGGCAGATCAGTAGCAGACATACAACAAATGTTAATTACTTAATAGAAGCAACAAATGTTAATTACGTAGTAGAAAAAAATAAAGGTAATTCAACCATAAAAAAGCTGGAATGCTTTGCACTTCGGACTACTGCATAATCTAGTTTTCTTTGCCAGATATAAATACCTGGTTACCATGATGGTTTTATTTATTGATACTGCAGTTGGTAGAGCTATACAGATAACACATAGGAAGACAAAACAAACTTTGTCTGGCAATGGGGAAAAATGAATATAGGCTCCAGTTGAGCTCCTTAAAATGTCACCAGAAGAAGGCAATGGCAAACCACTTCTGAAAAACCTTGTCAAGAAAACCGCAGGAACTAGTTCAGGCAGTTTGCCAGGAGTCAACACTGACTCAGGGACACATAAAAAATAAGATAAAAATAAGGAATTAGGGTAGACAGGACAAAACAAGATAAAAAAATAAGTATTTGGCAAATTTAAATAAATACAGACTTAGTCACTAGCTATTGCTAAATCATATTTTAGTATAATGTATTTGAATAAAATCAGTTGACAAAAAAGGAAAACAAGTTTTAATAAGGCAAAACAAAAGCAAACTGAAGCACCGTAGGCTCTTATTTTTATTTTTGTTTCTTTTATTTGGCTTGCAGTTTTTTCATTCTTCATTAATTGGAAAAAAATAAGTTCTTTAGGCGGGTTAATTTTTTTAAGATGCTGGAAATCTCAACCGTGTCTCTGCATCTGTTATTTTATTTGAATCTAAGGGATAAGCTAGAAGGGGAAGACCTGTAGCTCTGTGGAAGTCAAAAGCTATTTTTATTTTTTATTGAAATTAATTTATTACTGAAGGGAACAGGGACCTGTTTGCTGGAATAAGGTATATTTTAAAATGCTGATATGCATTATATGTAAGATGCTGTCTAAATATTAATTCAGTTGAGAAGACACTGAACAAAGAAGAACATTGGGAAGGTGCGTAGTATCAATTGGCCGAGACCATGGAAATTAAATACTTTAAAATCTTTTATAATACAATCTATGAAAATATTTTCACAGTGTTTTATTTATTACAAGGAAAGCAGAAGTTGAAAACATCCTCTTAGTACTTTTGAAATAGGACATTCCCTGAAATTCAGCATAAAAAATAGAGACCTTTCAGAAAACTAATGAAGAGGCCAGTTAAACCTCTTCATGTGGTTATTTTTTTAATCTGAAATGAAAGCAAGTAGATTTGGGCTTTGTTCAGTCACCTTTACTTCTTGTAGGAGAAGAGAATACCTATATGAGAACACAACAAGCAGCATGGCGGATTCAGAAGACCTTTTGCTTAAGAAGGCAAAGGAAGATCAAACTGGTAATCGCATTGTAAAAGTGAACTCCGGTAAACATTACTTCTGTGGTTATTGTGCAGCCATTACAAACATTGCAGTAACTTTCCCCATCCAGAAAGTCCTCTTTCGTCAACAGCTGTATGGGGTACGAACCAGAGACGCAATATGTCAGCTACAGAAAGATGGAATCAGAAATTTGTACCGAGGTATCCTTCCTCCGCTGATGCAGAAGAGCACAACCTTGGCATTGATGTTTGGCCTATATGAAGATTTGTCTTCCGTGCTGCTCAGACACATAAGTGCACCTGAAATCTTTGCCCGGAGCTTAGCAGCTGTGCTTGCTGGGACCACAGAAGCTGTCTTGACCCCTTTTGAGCGTGTGCAGACACTTCTGCAGGACTACAAACATCATGACAAATTTACAAACACCTACCAAGCGTTCAGGGTTCTTCGAGAGCATGGGGCCAGGGAATATTATCGGGGCTTGGTGCCAATCCTACTTCGGAACGGTCCTAGCAACGCTCTCTTTTTTGGCCTGCGAGGGCCCATCAAGCAGTGCCTGCCAGAAGCAACAACTTACAGTACTCATCTGATCAATGATTTTATATGTGGAGGGGTATTGGGTGCTATGTTGGGGTTTATGTTTTTCCCTTTGAATGTTGTCAAAGCCCGCATGCAGTCACAGATTGGTGGGGAATTCCAGTCTTTTTCCACAGTCTTTATGAAGATTTGGGTGGAGCGTGACAGGAAACTGACACATCTCTTCCGAGGGGCCCATCTAAATTATCACCGGTCCCTGATTTCTTGGGGAATAATTAATGCAACTTATGAATTCTTGCTTAAATTACTATAATTGGTTATTAATTTTCTCTCTTCAGTTGAGCATCGGACAATCCTGAGCTGTCAGTTTCCAAGATATAATGAGAACACGCTCGCAAGTGTCTCTGACTCCATAACATTTGAGAAACTAAATTGCCAACAAATGGTGGTTTCAGTTGGTATGGATATCAAATATTTATGCAGTGCCTAACTAGTTCAAAATATAATTTTATTCAGTCTTGTTCTTAGCCTTCCAATCTATGGATGTGGCAGCTGTATGACTAAAACAATTAACTGAGAAGTTTCCTGAAATATAAAGCCAGCGGATTGATTCACTCAAAGCATAATAAACTAAATTTCATGCTGGCCTATGAAAATTTGCTCCAGGTCACGTTCAGCTTTATTCAATCAACACTCCTGGTGATCCAAAGAATGCACTTCATAGAAAATAGCAGAGCAAAACAAAAACAAAAACCCTGATATTTAATTTGTTGTTTGACCATTTGTAACAAATGGTAGCATTTTTTTTGTAATAAGTGGACCTTGAGTTTCCATGAAGCTTCATGTCCCCCCTCTTGGTTTTTTTATGATGATGATTATGAATATTATTGTACTTTGAAAAGAGACTGCCAAATGTAGAGAAAAGTCTTGTTCTAAAACAGGTTCCAAGTAGTTTTGGAGCACTACTGATGCAAATGACATCTTGTCATCATTAGTATTAAATTTTAGAAATAGTAGGATGTATCTCTACTATTAAATAGTGGTTGCTGACTATAGATGAAAGAGTGAGAAAAGCACTGAAAAGCTTTAAAATATTCTCCATCTTGCACTGTCACTGAATTTTTCAATGTCAATTAGGTGTTTAAATTATTGATTTGGTGAAATATTCTAATCCAGGGTGGTGGTTTCTTTTACACACACACACACACAGAGAGAGAGAGAGAGAGAGACATACACTTTCCAGGTTTAGAAAGTTCGGTACAAATTGGTAAACTTAACTAAAAGTAAACAGGATAAAATTCCAGGTATTATTTACTGGTACAGTACAACTGATTGAATGGGTTAGACACTACATCAGGGGTGTCAAACTCATATATCAGGGAATTTTTCCCCCCTTTGCTAAACCGATTGTGTGTGTGGCCAGTGTGTGATGCATCCGGCCCACAGGCCAGGAGTTTGACAGCCCTGCTCTACATCAATCTAAGGTCTAGTGAAGCAGAATTTTTGCATACCAAAATGAAATGTTTATTGCAATTTTTCACAGTATTTTACTCTGTTGAAAAAGAAATTGCAGAGCTATTTCACACACCACTCATGAGTTGTTTATATTGAGGATATATGAGTTTGCAAAAGGCTAGCTTGCCCTTTGCTTTTCCTTTAATGCAGATGAGTCTTCATACAAAAAAATCTGGCATAAGAGATTCATCCATCCACTTTTAGTAAGTGACAAAATTGCCTAAATCCCTGCTTTATACTGTATATAGCCTGTCTATTCTCAGTCTATGAACTCGTGTGACGGACCATGAATATATTAAAAAAGAAGGGACAAAAACATCTGCAAATATTACATAGGGCTTCTGTGAATTTTTAATCATGCCAATAAACATACATGTATACAAAATAGTAAGCAATGGGTGAGTTAGGAAGAGGAAATTCAGCCAAATTAATCATTTTGGCTGCATGATTTTGTGCAAATAGGTGGTAATATTTCCTATTTATGATTTATAGGAAAGCTCTCCCAAACTCTGTTGATTATTGTCCAAGTGTTAGAATTATTTTCTTAAAATTTAGATAACAGTAGGTTTGAGATGGTAGGGTTTTTACTTTATTTTGCATATTGTCCCTCCCTCTACAAGAGTGCCCCAAATCAAATATTAATTGATCTAGATTTCTTGATGCTCAAGTTGCTTAGCTTCACAGTTGGGTTGCCAAGCACAAAATGAAAGAATGCTTACTATTTTGAATGTTGTAATTATAGATATATATACATAAACAAAATGTCGGTTGAATGTTTAACTGGTAAAGTATAATTCTACCAGAAGGATATATATTTTTTGGTAATTTCCTTTGGTGGAATAAACACAAGTAAATTCAGTTTCCTGAAATGAATATTCTGTAATAGTGTTTTGTTTTTCCCTGACATAAAGACTAGGAATATTTATAGGCATGTCATAGTCATTCTCTGCCCACTCTGTATGGCTGGGGTCATGGGCCACTCTTCCCTCCCAACCCAACAGAACAATATCCTTCAGTGGAACTGCAAAGAACATGATGAGGTCATACTTAAAAAATAGTAGGGTTGTAAGAACAGTATTTTTTTTTAAAGAACTGGATCAATGGGGAAAGAAGGTTAACATCCCCACCCATGACTATTATCCTTTCAGTGGGGAGATGTGGTTGTATGAATGGTGATGTGTGTGTTGGCTGTGTATGTGTAGTATCAGTTCTATCCATTCATGCAACCATCCAAAACATTCTGTGGAGACTAGTGAACATCTATGAGGGAAAAATGCCTTCCTCTTCCCTAACAATAATCTTTAATACTTAATTAAATCAAAGGAAAATGAGTGTTGAGTATTGATATTTCCTTCTTGTTTCTTAAGTCTTATTTTGGATACATCTGCTCTCTTATGGATATCAAGTTGCATGTAAAGCTCAGGCAAGTTACTTTGTTAAAAAATGTTTCTCCTAGCAACACAAACATATTAAGTTGCTCATTAAGATGAACTACAGAGACTAGCATGGCTTTAAACATTTGATTATATTCAGCATTATGTGGAATAGGTTACTTTGGTATTCATGGTTTTAAGTATTACCTGATGGTAAAGTTAAGCAGTAAGATGAAAATGTTAGTTATAAGGTTACTGATTACCTTTTAAACAGCCAACTAAAAACAAACAAGAATGCACAGTCTTCAAGAAAATATTCCTGAATTAATTATGTTACCAATTGGATAAAAAAATAGAATGTTATTTTGTCTAACAAGTGTAGAATGTATGCCATTGGCTCTGAGTTACACTGGAAGATGTTACATTGGTATACTCCAGGTTTGTATGCTTAGCTTATCTGTATGTGGCTTTGACAAGATTTAGAAAATAGGATTATCAGATTTGCAGGTGACATAAAAGGTGATATACCAAATAACTCAGGAATCAGTATCAAGATTCAGGAAAATCTCTACATCAGTTTCAACAAGGACAAATGCAAAATCCTCCGTTTTTGTGAGTAAAATCAAAAGCATATGTATAGGATATGCAATAGTACATACAAAAAGGAACTGTATGTCTTGGTGAATTTCAAATGGAGCATGAATCAACACTGATATAGCTGCTGACATGGAGCTAGCCTGCGTCAACAGAAGTACATTGTCAAGTTAGTAATTCATTGTTCTTCTCTGTTCGGATTGGTAAGACCATGTCTGGATCATTGAATCTAGTTCTCAGTACCGCATTTTGGGAAAGACACTAACAAGTTGGTGTGTGTTTTGGGGAAGATAAGATATTAAGAACTTTGGAAGGAAAAATATAGTTGGCAGCACTCAGAGCATTTAGCCTTGAGAAGATAGCTATTTTTTTCAAGTACACGTGGCCCTTGTTTAATGACCGCAACTGGGATTGGCAACTTGGTCATTGAGCAGAAGTGATTGCTAAGTGATGATTTTACTTCCGGTTTCCTTTGCATTATAGACAAAAGGTCGTAAATGTGAGGACCGGTCACACAGAGATGCTTTTTCTTCACTGTTGTAACTGAATAGTTGCTCTACGAGGCAATCACTAAACAAGGACTATCTGTATCTGATGAACTGTCATGGAGAAAAGAGATTTTTTTCAGGATTATTTCAGAAAACAGACACAAAATTGGTTTTAATTATGAGAAAGCAGATCAAGAAAAAACATCCTACCTTCAGCAATGGGAGAGTCTGCCTCCAGAGATGGTGGCTATTCTTTTCCTGGAAGGCCATCTCCTGGAGATGCTCTAGTTGTGGATTGCTAAGCAAGGGGTTGGACTAGGAGCATGTAGCATTGGTAACTGAAGTGTGCAGCTACCATATGAGACAACAAAAGGCCTGCATCACACATAAATATTTTAAACCTCTCAAAGGAAAAAAGTAGCTCTTCATCTTCATTCTAGGAAACTGCTGTCTGTGGACCATTTCCCACTGATGAGTTAAAGTATTACTCATTCATGAGAGCAGAAAACTAGACGGGCATAAAATTTGCTCTCTACCCCCTTTGCTGATTCCTAATCTGCCTCTATTACCTCTTTCCAACTCATTGCAATCATTTAACTTCCTTCCAGGTTAATGAATGGATAATAATGAGTGACAAAGCCTACTAAACTTTATACCAGAGTTTTTGAAATGGATTCCCACAAAATCCTCTGCTTCTTCGGGAAGCTACGAACATGTGCGTGCCCACACACACAAATTTACTCAGGCCAGTTATCACTAGAGCATTGCTTCTTGATCAGAGTTCCTGGAAATTTTTGTTTTAACTAGACAGACAGGCTGATTTTTTTTTTGAAAGCTCCTATTTTATAGTTCTTTTGTCTGCTCATGTATGACATTTAACATTTAAGCCTGTCCCGGAGTTGGGAAGGCACTGCCAAGGATATACATTAAGTAACAACAAAAGGCATTATCATATGTGTGTCGTAATTCAGTACAAGTAGAGAAAGACTGCTGCAAACCATTGCTGAACAAATGCTTTTAGGTTGACAACTACCCTTATCAGCAAAGGGTGAGTATTTTACTAGTAAAGATTAACTCTCATAATCCAAGGCCAACTACAGGTAATCTTGATTTACAACCATTCATTTAGTGACTGTTCAAGTTACAACAGCACTGGAAAAAAGTATGTTTTTCACACAGACCACACAGACCATCCCCTTAGTTATGCGATCAAAATTCAGACCTTGGCAACTGGCATTAATTTATGACATTTGCATGGTCCCAGATCATGTTGATCCCCTTTTGCAACCTTCTGGCAAACAGAGTCAATGGGGAAGCCAGATTCACTTAACTCTTTTTAACAACGAGTGATTCACCTAACTGGCAAGAAAAGTCATATAATGGGGCATAACTCATTTAACTGTCTCACTTAGCAATATACATTTTGGGCTCCATTATGGTCAAGGACTACCTGTAAAAGTTGATTTGATTTTTAGCTGAAAATTTCTCCATGAATAATTGAGGTTCTGAGGAATGGACACCAATTAGGTTCTCGAATAAGTGTAAGAGAAAAGTAAATTTATTTTATTCTGCGACTCAGTTACTCTGCCACTTTTGCCACTCAGGACAATAAACAGGATTTGGGGATGTGTGAATTGCTTCAAACTTGGCAACTGGCATGTATTTATGACAGTTGCACTGTCCCAGGGTCATGGGACCATCATTTGTAACCTTTCCAGCCAGCTTCCAACAAGCAGAGACAATGGAGGAAACCACATTTCCTTAGTGACATGATTAGCTACAGTGATTTGCTTAACAACAGTGGCAAAAAGGACATAAAGTGAGGCACAACTCACTTATTAGCAATGGAAATTTTGGGCTCAGCTGTTTGCCATAAATCAAGGTCATCTCCAGGAGATGCCAAGTTTCAAGGACGGCTCTGTTTCACTGAGAGGCCTATTGTAAGGCACACCTTGTGGAATATTTCCAGGAGAGTCACAATATAAATTTGCCATTTACCACAAAGCAATAGGGTAAATATAATTAACTTGGATTGAATCAGGTTGGAAGGAGGAAAAGGTTTAAAATTATAACCTTGAATTTCAATTTAACATCAGATCAATTCATTTTAGCCCAATGCTCCTTGTTCAAAAGTCACAGCTGAACTAGAATCCAAGTAGAAGCAGCTAAAGTCAACCCCAAATAAGCACAGTTAGGCTTGTTTATAACAGCATTAGCAGTATCTAATTAATGTTGGTGTTTCTTGGATAAAGCAAAGCATTTAGATCCAGTTAATGCTTAGATAGAGCGCAAAGCCAATTCTGTACACATTTTCATTGAACTCAGCAGTACAAATACGATTTAATGGATAGGAAGAGATGTCCATTAAATCCAACTTTATTATAATGTTTTCTATCCAACATACAAAAAAATATAGGATTTTCTATAGGAAAGTCTACTTGGGAACATATTTTTATCTAATTTCATCTTCCTTCTTTTTGTACTAACTTCTTACCCAACTCGAGTTTCAGAATGGGTTCTGGAAAACAATCTTTTTTCCTTAAAAAAAGAAAAGAAAAAAAATGTTACTGTGCAAGTGAATCACTCCCTCTGTAGTTTAGTGGAATCTGATCACATTTACTAGCTGGGGCATTCATTTCCGTAAGCTGTGATTGCTTAAATAATTGAATTCACAATAAATATTAAGCTAAAACAAAACAAATACTATGGTTTCATACTATGTATAAATCCAGCTGTGTATACAACAGATGAATTTGAGTTTCTGAAGAAGAGAATTAAACATAATGCTTCACACTGGTGCCTGATATAGTATAGAGAAAATTTACAATTGAAACAATACTTGAAACATGTTAAAGATGATTATTTAAGTACAGTTTTGAATTGAATTGAGTTTCAAGTGTCTAAAAGATCCTTGAATACATTGATCTACATTACTGAATACTTTGTCCAGTGTTGATTTTTAAAAAATCTTAAAAATACACATTAGTGAAATACAAGCAACAAATTCAGAGTATGAATGTGATGTGTTTATTAAGCAAGCAAGAAAAATTGTTCAAACATTTACATCACCCGTGTAAGAGTAAATACATTTCCTAGACAATTCTTGTAGATGTATTTAAAATGTACACCTTTTATTATGAAAGAATTTCAAAGTACTCTACATGCACAAATTTGTACTTCCATATTTAAAAAAATATTTTTGCATGAGATGGAAATATGTTTACAAATAAGCTGACACCACAAAGCTATTAACAAATGGGATGCAAATTATTTAAAGAACTGGCTTTAGTTTAATGTACATTTCAACTCTATCCACTTACTTCCATTTTTTCATTCTTTTGTTTTGACATTTGGGAAATAATTCTCCATTGTGGTCTCTAAATTTCACTCAGCTGTTTTCCACAATG